AAAGCACTTTGTGTTAACAATAAGCACGTTTAAGGGGAGCAAAGGAAAACTAAGACAGAAAATATTCCTTTAGATATAAACACTTTTCCAAGAAGTAGCAGAATCTATGGGCTTAAGTTGATACCTGTTCTGCATCCAAATTAACAAGCCCACATGCAGAAACAGAAGCCTTAACCATTTTTTTGACTAAGAAAAGGTCCATCTCAACATTTCCAACATCATCATCAAGTTTTGATTCAGTCAGAAGAACAAATCCAGAATACACCTTACTGATAATGTTGCACGGGAAATCAAATTTATAGGCGTGAAAAATGGCACCACCAAGTTTCTCACCCCAATTTCCAAATAATGCCTGGATATAGGTTGTCCCATGTAACTCCTTCCTTTTCGTTGTTCCTTTCAGGAAAACCAGGGTAACAAGGAGAGAGAAAAGGAAAAGAAAAAAAAAATGAGGATGACTCAATGAATCTGAGATGAGAAACACGGGATCTAATTGTATTAACCGGAATGCATACGGAACAAAAATTAGTATAGTAACTAATACCATGCTAGCAAACTTGAATAATGGATTGGTATAAGAGAAATGTTAGCACAGTTAATGATTAATGTCAATCATACTGTGCATGGAACTGGACAATCAGCCTATAGAAAACAATTCAAAAACCTAAATTAGTTTCAGATATCAATACCTATTCCACATTTTTTATGCAGATAACAAGGCCTCAACAAGGAATCCACTTTCCACATTAAAAATGCCAAGGTTATGATATGAGCTATGTTAGGGTACATAGTTAACTTCAGTCTACTTCCATTGCTAGGCGTCTCTACTGCAACATATATATATATATATATATGTTATTACTTACCCTAACAAACCAAATTCAATCTAGATTAGGAATGAGCTAGGCCTTAAAATGCCTGTGACAGGACCACAACTTGATGAAAAGTTGCTTCATGGAAATTTCAATTAACCATCAAGCTCCTATTCAGAATTGGGTAGTATACATCCTATGATGTCTTGAGTTCAGTAGAGATGCAGCTAGGAGATGCTGTAAGATATATGCATGTGTCTATGTGTTCCTGTACCTATCTATGATTTTTTTGAAAAGACACAATGAGTTAAAACAAGCTATCCTCTAGAAGAACAAATGAAGACAAGAAAAAGAGAGATGAGCGACCTAACCTATTTGCAATATGAACGAAGGAACCCTGCCAGCCCCTTTCCCCAGCACCATATCCCCCAACCCAAAAAGAAAAGGAAAGAAAGAGAAAGAATGAGAACAAAGGAACCCAAATGCCGTAAAAGACTAATTATAAACTTGCGTAACATTTTGTAGGTATATAAATCTTCCAGGCATAACTTTGTCCTAAAATAATGTGCTTGTACAGTCAATCGAAAACAGTCATTCTTCATCTGTGTAAAAACATATAGATACATATTTCTATGCATTTGGACCAAACATGATCAGCATCGACAATTAGATCCACAATTATAAATACCTGCTGAAGCTGATTTCTTCCTTTCTAATCTGGCCCCATTTCCAAAGCTCATCAATGACGGTAGAGATGGTCATTCAAAGCACCCATTTGATGTAGCTTCTTACATGCTTCAAGGCATACAAGCTGCTTTGCTAAATGTGAATTCTTACTTGGGGGACCAACTATTGAATGAAAAGCCGCATGAGCAGGCAATGTCAATTTACATTCATATGTTTCTCCAGAAAAGGAAAAGTCGAAACTGGGCTTTGGTACATAGCACCTATATTGCAGAGTAGCCAGTCAAGACAAATACAAAACCTAGTGCTTCCTCATAGAAGGAAAAAAGCATTGCTGAAGTATGCATAGCACACATATTAAATAATTATTTCTGAATAACTGACAAGGAAAGCATATCCATACTTATCACCCGGGAGCTTTCCACAATAACAATGTATGAGACTGACACTAGCATCAGCAGTAACCGATGCCCCTGTTGCATCCACAATGTATGAATTTGTATCGTCAAAAGTAAATACTTTAAGATTACATGTATCGGGATCTCTGGTTATAGATGTATCCATCATTGAATATTCACTCCTGATGAGATCAAAATGTTGATTTCTATGTTTCATGTTTCCCCTGAAGAAAGAAGTGAATAGATTTAAGAATCCAACAAATATGGAATAGAGGAACATAAATGATTAGGAGTATTTCACCTCTCAAGCAAGATGAAAAACTGTGAATTAGTTTGTCGAGCTCGTCCACGGGACTGGACATAACTACGGACAGTCTTAGGCTGATCAAAGCGCACCACACATGAACACTTTGGAACATGAATTCCCTCCTCAACCACATCAGTAGCAAATAATAGATTGACCTAAATAGAAGTGTTTAGTGATTGATTATAAAATTTCCACACAGCTAGACCCTTGTAAGTTAACAAGAATATAGAGAATTGCACACCTTCCCAGAGCGAAATGATTCCAAGGTTTCTTTTTGCACTTTTGGTGCCAGTGCATCAACCGATGTGCTACTCCCCGTCAAATATGAAACTTTAAAATGAGCTAAACAGGATGATTTCTTCACTAATCTTTCAATCACTTTAGCTGTAATAATTCTTTGAACAAAAACAAGGCATAGGATTTCCTTAGCTCCTCTGCACCAAAAAACTAATAGTTAGTTTAGATTTGACAAGATTTTTTTAAAATAAAATATATTTAACAAGATAGAAAAATATGATAAAGGAAGCAGTTCCATTACCCAAATGATTGGAGAAGTTTGAGAAGTTCATGTAGTTTCGGAGATATATAGCCTAAATCTAACGCTTTGGAATGGTCAAAACTCAAATTCAAAAAATTTTCATCACCTATTTAAATGAGAAGACAAAAGTGAGGAAACTGAGGAACAAGTATTATATTCCAAATTAGAACAGATTTACCAGAATATTTACGGAACTATCAGCATATAGATAAATTAAAATTTAGCAAGTACATCATGCAAGCAAACAAATTATAGACATGTTATTACCTTTTTTTTACAATGAAAAAGTGTGTATATTCAAAAAGCACCAAGGGAATGCGTGAAAAATGGTTGATTGTTTATTTTATTGAATATTACAGCCTTAGATATACGAGTTTTATAGAACAGAAAACAAAGTAAACCATTGACTATATTAATTACATACTCTCTTTAATATTCTCCCTCAAGTTGGAGAATAGATATTGTCTATCCCCAACTTGCCAATGATGGTCTTCAATGCTACAATATTCAGATCTTTAATCAACATATCTACAAGTTGAGAGATGGTCAGCATGTCGGATATATATATATTAAGCCACTTTCTAACTTTTTCTTGATGAAATATCTGTGAACTTCAATATGTCTCGTTTTTTCATGTTGCAACTGATTATATGAATGCTAATAGCTGTTTTAGTATAAAAATATAGGTGCATGAGACTATCCCACTTAATTTTTAGATATTCTAAATTTTCTTTCACATATCCCTAAAATCATTATTTAGAATTCTAATTCTACACTTGACCTTGGAACTATATTTTGTATTTTACTATTTCACATATCAAACATGCATACTTACATAGAGTGTATACTACATATACATACAAATACGCATGCATCTATATATGTAATATACTGCATATACATACAAACATGCATAGATGTATATTCATGCATACAGTCACACACACACACCTATATATATCTATATATATGTATCAATTATATATCCTTATAAGCCAATGCACACACATTAAATGTATATATATAGACATATATAGGCATGTGCGTGACTGTATGCATGAATACATATATGTGTTTGTATGTATATGCAGTATATATTATATATATATGCATGCGTGTTTGTATGTATACGTAGTATACACTATATATGTATGCGTGTTTGTATATATATGCAGTTTTATTCCCAAAAAAGGCACAATAACCTGTGGTAGATCTTTTATCTAACATTAACCTTAGGTACCTTGCATTTGTACAAGCTTCTAGGAGCAACTTGTCATTCTTTCTAAATATGATTCATTTTTCAAGTGACCCTTTTAGATAATATAGCATTTTATATGTTGTCCGTAAGTGCGCTTCTCAAGGATTATACATGAACAGATCTATATCACTTACTACATAGGCGATCTTAAGTCTTACCTATAAAAAGTATATCAGTGTCAAAAGTAATCTCTAATACATTTCTTTCTACTAGTGTATCCACTTCTGTCAGTCTTAGTTTATGATTAGATCAATGAGAGTATTAGTTGACTTACATGCTAGTTTGTTCATATCCCTTAATAAGTCATGAGTGTATGATGTAAGCATGGAAGCAATACGCCATCCCAAACACAACCCAAGCCAAGTAGAGAAAGAGAGGGACGGCCACGGGAGTTTCATGGGCAGCCAAGAGGAAAAAGGATCCACAGGCGGCCAAGGAAGCTTCATGGGCAGCCAAGAGAAAAGGTTAGGCGGCCAAGAGAAGAATGCATGCGGCGAGGCCCACTCAAGAGAAGAGACTTGCGGCCAATAAGAATCAAGATCAATTTCAAGAAATCTGGATGGATTTGGGTCACTTGGAAAGAATATTATGATGCCAAGTGGACCCATTACAAGAGGAAGAGCTAAAAGACTCCAACAAGTCTTTCAACTCTTTATTCAAGAACGGATAAATGAGAAAAAAAGGCTTGGATCAAGCAAGGAAGCACATACAAGAAAGGAAGGAAGCCCATTAGGTCAAGGATATAATGGTACATGCATCCTAATTCAACTAGAAGAGGAAACTAAGAGAACAGGGAAAGGAAATCTCGCATGTAGGAGGAATCCTCCCAACCTGTGAGGGATTTCCTCCCAAACGGGAATGTCCCTTCCAAACCCGCAAGCAATCTTCCTTCCCTATATGGAAGCAATCGACCTAGAATGCACTCCTCACCTAAATCAGCCATGATCTTCCAAAAAGAGGAAAACAAATAGTTTCACCATTAAAGTCAGCATTAGGAAAAGATATAGGCGGCATTCAATTCCTCTCCAAGGTCAGCCCTAAATTGCTTTATTTCTTCCTTCCATTACTACTACACATAATGAAGATCCTTCCCATTTAAAAGATTTCCACAAAGGGACAATGTATCTACACTATTTGAATTATAATTTTTTCTAAATGTATTGTATTCTTACTCTATTTTTGATTTAATTTCCTATGTAATTTATTACGATTAAATTAAGAGATCTCTTTTCTTGTATTTCACATCGCCTACAACTATAAATAGATATTCAATTCATGATTATAAGCATCAAATTCAAAGTAATAGAATATAAAGTTCTTTTAACCTTTCAACAAGTGAGGTATTATTTATCCTCCTTGTTGGGCAAGGAATTGGGTCAACTTATTAAGATAATCTTATGATGTTTTTCTAATTCTTTAATTTTTCTCAATTACTTTAATTTTTATCACACATTGATAACGGGTTGCGTAGAGAAGGTTTACTTAGAATGGTATTAATTAAAATTGTGTGAGTTTTGAATTAAATTGTTGATTCTGTGTTCCGCATCATTTGGATCAAAGCTTATACTCGACATAAACCTTACTATTCTTGTATTTTTTTTTTTCTCTTGCACTATTATTATCATTCATTGACCAAAAAAAAGGGAGATCCAAGCAAGAAGCAAATACTTGAAGCTTTCTTTGCTTGTTACTTTTCCCACTGAGCATCATCATCAACATTACTATCATTTTATTTTTTCACTTGAATTTCTTTCCAATATTTGTTCAAGTGACCAAGTCTCTTATTTAGTCCAAAAAAAAAAAAAAAAGCGAAAACGATCACTTATAAAATCAGTTCGTACTTGTGCTTGTTCAACTATTTGATTCAAAGCAAAACCAATCGCTCATAAAATCGGTTCACCACCTTAAAGAAAATTTTCCCTTTTGTTTTCATCCCAAAAATCAACTTGAATCCATACATACACATCTCTTTTTTTTTTTTTTGAAATAAAAATGTATTAATATATTAGCATGGTACCTAAAAAAAAGGGTACCAATACATTTACAAAAGATTTACAGTGTAGTTACCATATCAATGACAATCCCAAAATCCTTCTCACTCATCATATCATGTCCTAACAAACTTCTTCCAAAAAAATTGAACCAACTATCCCTTAATTTATATAACCCTACTTCTTTCCCCTCAAATGCTCTTGCATTTCTTTCTTTCTAAAGAACCCAAAAAAGGGTCAATAGAACCAAAGTAGAAACATTACCATTGATTTTAATCACATCCTAAGCTCAAATTTCATCCCTAACATTCTCAGTCACAAC